GGCCGCCCCCCTGACCTGGCCCGGTCTGATGGACAGCCTCCCGGCCGCCCGCCGGAACAGTGTCTCTTAGGGACGGTCCCTTGACCGTCCATATTCCTTGTGATCTCTCGTGTCTCCTTGTTTTCTCTGGCTCCTCGTGTTTTGTTTTTCTCTGGCTCCTCGTGTCTTGTTTTTCTCCTTGGCTCCTCGTGTCTTGTTTTTCTCCTTTTGCTCCTCGTGTCCTTTTGCTCCTCGTGTCCTTTTGCTCCTCGTGTCCTTTCGCTCCTCGTGTCCTCGTTTTCTGGTTCCTCGTGTCCCTTTTCTGGTTCCTCGTGTCCCTTCTCTGTGGTTCCTCGTGTCCCTTCTCTGTGGTTCCTCGTGTCCTTTTTCTCCTTGTGTCCTCGTTTTCTGGCTCCTCGTGTCCTTTTTCTCCTCGTTTTCTGGTTCCTCGTGTCCTCGTTCTCTGTGGTTCCTCGTGTCCTTTATTTCCCTGTGGTTCCTCGTGTCCTCGTTTTTTCTGGCTCCTCGTGTCCTTTATTTCTCTCTGGTCCCTCGTGTCTTTTCTCTGGTCCTCGTGTTTTCCTCGGGCCCTCGACCCTTGCAATGCCACCCTCCACCCACCCTAGTCCTTCGTGAGAGGGGGGGTTTTGGGGACGCCTGGGGGCGTCTTTGGGGGGGAGTACTGTAAGGATGTTAGTTTTCTGTGGCCCGGTTTGTCTGTTTCCCTCGTGCTCCTTCATTAGTGCCATTAGTGCCACCTGTGTCTCGTCCCAGCTGTTTGCTATCATGTCTCGTCTTCTCCTTGTATTTAAGTCACCCTATTCTGTCTTGTCCTTTGTCGGGTCGTCTTCGTTGGGTACGCTTCTTTGAGTCTCCTGAGTCTCTCCTTGTCTTCCTGGTTCCTCGAGTTCCTCGTGTCTCCTGAGTTCCCCGTGCCTCCCTCCTTGTTTATGTAAGTTTTGCTGCCCCGTCAGCTTGTTTATTTTGTACTTTTTCATTTATCATTAAAAACTTATTTTTGTATATCTGCCGAGTTGAGTCCCTGTTCTGCACTCTGGGTTCGCTCCGACCCCAAATCCTAACAAATTTCTTGTTTGTGAAGTTATGTCAATGATTAATCATCTGTCATCTCCTGAGCTCATATGAAACTACAGGAAGCTACATGAAGCTGCAGGAAGCTACATGAAGCTGCAGGAAGCTACATGAAGCTGCAAGAAGCTAAATAAAGTTGCAGGAAGCTACATGAAGCTGCAAGAAGCTAAATGAAGTTACAGGAAGCTACATGAAGCTG